TTTTCTGGGGGGCTTTGCAAAGCATTATTGTGATGTTCTTTGGCTGAAGAACTTTTTATTTCCATGTCTTTGGAATTCCAGCTCCATATTTTTCTGAGCTCCCCTGTGAGGGAGCTCCTCCTGGCTGTTCCCAAACTGTTCCATGAGCATGGGCTGTGCCAAAGGCTTGTTTAGAGTGGGTAAAAATGTTTATTTCCTCTCCTCAGCTGGAGGAAGCTGCCAGGGCCCAAGTGAGCTCCCAGTTTTGTTTTCTGGAAGCAGAGGATTGTTTTCCAGTGCCTTCATGGCACAGTGTGCCCACATTTCCCATCTCCATTCTGCCAGCAAAACCTGCACAGCTGGCACAGCAAATCCCTCCCCAGCGATGCCAAGGGGCACTCTGGCATGCAGACAGGGTGATGGGGTCACTCTGTGCTCCCAGCTGCGAATTCCCTGGGATGTGAAAGAGTCTGAGGGATCACCTGCTCCTGAGGAATCTCCTCCCTGCGTTTGCTTAAAGGTTCTTCACAGCAACCACAGAAGGAGCTGCTCCATGATCCACCAGAGAATCCATTGTTTCATTCCCCAGTTTAACTGGAATCAGAGGGTTGGCCAGGGAAATAGGAGATGCCTCTGCTCCCCTTCAGTCCAGCCCAATTTCTGCATCTCCCGATTTTTCCTTCCGTCTGTCTGTGAGTCAGGGACGCTCCTTTCCCATGCCCTTCCTGGTTTTGGGAGGGTGTCAATGCCCACCCTCAGCCCTGGAATTGCCTGCCCTGGCAATGGGCTCAGTAATTTCCCTTGGCTCTTCTCCTTCTCCTCTGCCTGCTCCCTCTCCTCACAGGCATCACTTGGGAAATAACCACCCTCTCCACTTCTCCTCTGTTCTGGGGTTTCTTTCTAGTGCCTGGTGCCAGCTGCCCAACAAAATCCTGTTAAACAGCATCCTGCTTCTCCCCTTGCTGGATCTGAGCCCACCCTTCTGGGACCACCTCACAGTCTTCCATCCAAAGCCAGTGGAGACTCCTTTGCTCCCTCTTCCCTCCATACAGCTTGGCAAGGGATTTCAGTTCCTTCACTTCCTCCTAGAATCCCAATGAAATAATTTTCTAATTTAATTCTAGCAAATCTCACCAGCACTCTGATGGAGATCCCACTTTGGGTCATTCTTAGGTTGAAATTTGTGAAGGTTTGGAATGCCGTGAACCTTTTGATCTAATCCTATTTTCCCTCTTCTGAAGCCTTTTCTAAACTGCCCTCCCTTCCTCACGGGCAAACAAATATTCCAGGAGAGGCTGGATGTCCTCCTGGTTTGGTTCATGGATCGGCACCATGGCTTTAATCACACAGATTTAATTCCATCAGGATTTCTGTGATATGACCCCGCTCTCTGCCTCTGGTTCAGCAAGTCTGAAGTGTGACCAGCACCTGCACATGCACCTCCTCTCCCAGTCCATCACTGCCCTGAAGGTGTTGGCAGTTCCCCTTTCTCCCTGATCCTGCTGGAAGCAGGGGAGGTGTCCAAGCCCTGGTTTCATGGCCAGACCCACTGCCCACCTCCAGCTTCCATCCCTCTGTGGGAGGAGCTGCCAAGCTGGACTTCAGGCTTTGCTCCCTTTTATATTGTCCCATATGACAAGCATCTTTCTCCTTATCCTCTTTTCTTCATTTCCCAAAGAACGTATTCCACTTTGATACTTTTGAATCTACTAAACCACATTTTTTCTTACTTTAATAATTATTTCTTAAAGTGAAAACCAGATCTACATCAGGGATGCCATCCCATTCATTTTGCCTCCTACAAAGTAATATAAATGGTAAAATTGTATTGTATTTTAAAGACCTGTTGTTTTCCACCCTTTTTTCACTATCATCTAATTCAGAATGAGGCAACCATTGATTACAGTATCTTTTTAATATATCTTGAGTCATAGGGTCACCCTAACTCTTCAGGATGCGTCCTGGAGCAGAGCAAAGTGGAATTTCTACAGAAGCAGAGGAACCTTTCAGTTTGGAATTTCCAGTGTTTCTTACACTATCCCAAGGCACACATCCAAACCCCAGTTTTCACATCACCAGCTCTGCATGTGAAAACATGTGCAAACATCAAAAATCCAAGAGGTCACCAAATTGTAGAAACAATTTTGTTTTCAATTTCAGCTTACGAAGAGCCCAAACCAAACTCCTGTTTCTTGGCCATTTCCAGCCACCCCTTCACAGAAATACCTCTAGAAGGTGTTGTGCCATTGGGTGGTCCTGGTGTCAGGGCTGGTCACCCAAAGTACCCGATCACGAGGTTGGTGTGCTCCAGCTCATCCTGCCAACCCCCTTTTCCTGGAGTGGCCGCTCAGTCAGGGCAGGGCACCCCAGCTCTCCCTTCTGGGCCATCAAAACCAGCTGTGGGCTTCCTGCAGTGCACTGACAACCCACAAATCAAGGCAAGGAATCCTGGTTTTATTCCAGTTGGAGCAGAGCCAGGAGCTCTGGGTCTCCCCAGGGCCGCTCCCTGATCCCTGAGCATCAGGGCTTTACACTTTCGTGCATTTGAGCAAAGAACCAGCACTCACTGGTTACCAATTACTGGACTCTGTTATTAATTAGGACTCCAGCTCCTCCTGGCTGGGTGTACCTCCCTCCTCCTGTGATCACCCCACAGGTGCAGCTCTTTCCTCTGTTTGAGCTGGGGTCTGTTCTGAGCGGGTGCTCAGTGGGTGCTCAGTGGGTGCTCAGTGGCTGTGATCTCACCTGTTGCCAGAATTACCTTTTCCCCTGGTCCTGCTCAGTCCTGCTGACCACACTCCTGGTGCCCCTCATCCAGCCAGCCCCTGCTCTTGAGATGCTTTTTTCTTTTCTTTAGAAGAGAAGATTAGCCAAGCCTACAAGGTTCTCGATGTAATTACTAATCACAAGTGTCCAACTATGGCTGCTGAGGGACAACAGAACCCTCAGTGGTGGCACTGACCAGGGAGGCAGCAGTGACATCCCTTCCCAGTGGATCCAGGTGGAGAACAGCCCGTGGCTGGGGAGGATGAGGACAGGGGGGAGCCCTCCCCTCCATGAAGTGTGGAGAACTGTGGGTGCAGCCTCCAGGCCAGGCTGGGGCTTCCTGGAGCAAGGAGGATGTGACATCTGGGGTCCAGGAAAGGGCCAAAGCAATGCCAAAGGACTGGAGCACCGGCTGCATGAGGAGGAACTGGAATGTTTGGGGTACCTGGGTGTGCACTTGCCTAATGGAGGGAAGGAGGAGGGAGCCAGGCTCTCCCCAGTGGAGCAGCAGGAGCAGCAGCTACAGGCACAAAGTGGCCTCCAGAGGTTTGGGGTGTTTTTGCAGCGAGGCTGATCATACAGGGTGCTGGAATGGGCTGCTCAGAGGGGCTGTGGTCCCTCCAGCTGGGGAGGCACCCATGGCTGTGTGAGGGGCAGGAGGCCCCCAGGGCCCCACCAGCCCCAGCCCTGCTCTCAGGGCTGGCTGAAGGGGCTGTCCAAGTCAGTGTCCAGCCTGGTGTAAATGTCTCCTGGGAGGGATTGTCCCACTGCAATCCTTCTCACCAGCACAGCCCTCCAGCTCCAGGGTACTGATGCTCTGGGGAATTTCCCCATTTGAGTCCCAGTGGCCACAGCAGGAGCAGGGCCTGGAGGGGGGAATCTCCAGCCTTGAGCTCGTTCCCAAAGGCTGTGCTCCCCAGCTCCTTTGTCCCTTGGAGCAGCCCCCTGCCAGAGCCACGGGGTCACTGCAGGCAGCTGCTGTGAAGTGGGAGAGCTGCCCACCCTGCTGGTGCTACAAAACCCTGTGCTGCCTGCACCCTGGGCACTGACCCCACTGCTGTCACATCCCCACGCAGCCCCTCCAGGCACAGCATCAGAACAGAACTTCCTGCTCCAGCCCTGCCCTGCTCCCTTCCAGCAGGTGTTGGGGTGTTATCGAGGAATTTCTGGCTGGTTTGGGTGGGAAGGGACATCCAGCCCCATCCACGGCCACAGGCAGGGGCACCTTCCAAGGCCAAGCTGGAGACCCCAGTGAGGACCAGGGCCACCCTCCAGGAGCCTGAACCTCCCCCAGCTGCCTCAGAAGGCTTCATCCCTCTCCTCTCAGTTGAAGGCCAACAAACATAATCCACCACTCCAGCCCTGACCCACTCTGCAGCCCCAAGTGTCCCACAGGGCTTTCCCCCACTACTGGAGCTCCCACGTGGGTATGGGCAAATCCTCCCACAAAGGGGCTGTGTCTGTCCCTCCCGCAGCTCCCAGCCTCGCCCACCATGCTGGGGAGGGACTGCTTCCCTGCTCATGTCCCACCCGCGGGCAGGAGGGTGCAGCCCCTGTGCCTGGCTCCGGGGTGGTGAGGACCCATGGTCCCCATCCCTCTGCCCCATTTGCTTCCTGCTGCTCCCACACCTGGGGAGCTGTGAGCATCTCCCCCCCGCAGAAGGTGGTGTGTCACCTCCTGACCCAGAGCACACACAGCCCTGCTCCCACTGCAGGGGGGTTTGTGCTGCTGGCCCAGCTGCTCCTACCCAGCCCTGGCCCAGCTCATCCTCTCTCCTACTCCTGAGCCCTTAGTCCCTTTCCAGTGTGCCTTTCCCTATTCCCAATGAGTCTGTCCCGTCCTGGTAAACCCATTTCATCATTCCCAGTGAGTTGTATCTCCATCCCTTCTTCATTCCCGGTGAGCCCATTCCCTGTTCCTGGTGACCCCACTCCCTCATTCCCACTGAGCTATTCCCCCCTTCCCCATTCCCGGTGAGCACGTTCCCAGTTTGCCCAGTCCCTGGCCCTGCTCAGCCCCAGCTGCCCCCACCCCGCACTCGCTCACGCCTCGGGTTTCCACCACGTTTTATTACAAAACCGGTGCGGCCGGGTCCCGGTGCCGGGGCGGCTCCGCTCCCGCTGGCGGCGCCGGGGCCGAGGCGGGCTCAGCCCGTGCCGGTGTTGGTGCCGACAGCGCAGAGGCCAAGGCGGCGGCTGGAGGCCGGTGCAGCCCCGGGGTGCCCGGGGTTGGGGGTCTCGGGGGGTCCGGGGGTTCAGCGCCCCACGGCGTCGAGGATGCGGCGGTTGGAGTCGGCGCGGGCGCGCTGGCTCTGGGCGCGGGCGAGCAGCAGCAGGTGCCGCAGCAGGTGGAACGTGAGGTCGATGGAGAGCGGCGGCTCGTCCCGCCGCCCTCGCCACGGCCCCGGCGGCGGCGGCGCCAGCGGCGGCCAGAGCGGCTGGTCCTGCTCTCCCGTTCCGTCCCGTTCCGCCCCGTTCCGTCCCCTGTGCGCCCCCGGCCCCGGTGCTGTCCCTGCCCGGTTCCCAAGCCCGTCCCGTACCCGGTGCGCTGTGCCCTGCTCCTGCCGGTGCTGGCGGCGCAGCGAGCGCGGTCCGTCCCGCGGGAGCTGAGCCGGCGGCGCGGCCCGGGGTTATATCGGCCCGGGAGCCCGGGCTGACGTCAGCGCCGGGCACGCACCGGGCGGCGGGGGCGGGGGAGAGGGGGGCACCGGAGCGGCGGGGAGCGGGCCCCCGGCGGCGGGACGGGGCTGAGGGAGGGGGGAGCGGCAGAGCCCGGTCTCGCCGGTCTCGGGAGCCGCCGCTCCGGTTCTTGCCTGACGCCCACCACAGAGGCACGGCGGGGCCGGTGAGAGCAGGAGCCTTGGGTCGTGCTAGCCCTCGCTTTCCCGGTCCCCCGGTCCCTCTCCCGGCTCTGCCGCATCTCCAGCCTCGTTCTCCGCCGCTGTCCGCGGTGCTGAACGGCGGGGACGCGCCGGGGCACCGGGGCCGGTGAGCCGTACAGGTGAGCTCCCGGTGAGCCCTCCGGGAGCTGCACCGGGCTGAGCCGCGGCTTCTCGCCGTGGGACCCCCGCGTTCCCGGGCGGAACGGCCGCGCTGAGCAGGGACCGGGGCGGCGGGGGGACCCCTGGGCGGAGCTGGGGACCCCCCGAGCTCCGGCAGCTCCGGGGCAGGGCGGTCACGGGTGGGACCCCGGCCCGGCCGCGGCTCGGTGTCCCGGGCAGGGCGGGCGGGGCCGAGGTCAGAGCGCGGGGCCGAGGCCGCAGACGCCCCGAGCGCAGCGGCAGCCCCGGCCAAGTCCTGTGAGTCATAGAACGAAGGCACCGGAGCTGGCAGCGCCGGGCTGGATGCAGGGTGTTCCGTCGGGGCACCGGCACCGCTGCCAAATGGTGATGTGGCTGCTGGGGCTCCACACCGCTGTTGGCATCCCCCCTGAGTGCACCACACTGCTGGCACTCCCCCGAGTGCTCCACACCGCTGCGGGCAGACCCCGAGTGCCCTGCACTCCCCCCGAGTGCCCTGCATGCTGCTGGCAGCCCCCTGAGTGCCCTGCAAGCCCCCAGGGTGCTCTGCACGCCCCCCGAGTGCCCTGCATGCCCCCCGAGTGCTTTGCATGTCCCCTGAGTGCCCTGCAGCCCCCCGAGTACTCTGCACTCCCCCCGAGTGCCCTGCATGCTCCTGGCAGCCCCCCGAGTGCCTTGCACGCCCGCCAAGTGCCCTGCATGCTGCTCGCAGCCGCCCGAATGCCCTGCATGTCCCCCGAGTGCTTTGCATGCCCCCTGAGCGCCCTGCATGTCCCCCGAGTGCCCTGCATGCTGCCCACAGCGCCCCGAGTGCCCTGCATGCCCCCCGAGTGCAGCCGAGCTGCCACCCAGCCCCGATGCTGCCGGGCCGGATCCGCGGGGCAGCGCCGGGCACAGCGCCGGGCACAGCGCCGGGCACAGCGCCGGGCAGAGCGGCTCAGCGCGGCCCTCGCTCGGTGTGTCCCACCCCGGGGGCACAGGGCTGCGGGGCACGGCCCTGCCGCAGCAGCAGCACACGGTGTCGTGCCCCCATGACGCGGTCCGGCACGAGGGCTGGCACCGGGCACCGCTCCCTGCAGCGGCGGGACACAGCCCCCAGCAGGGGCTGGGCTCACCCCGAGCCCCGGCAGCCCCATGCTGCGGCTCCTGCTGCTGGGGACAAGTGGCTCATTCCACGTGGCTCTGGCCATGCCCGCAGCTCTCTCGCTGCTGACAGAGAGCCTCCTGCACCCCCAGAGGGAGCTGCGAGAGCTCAACAGCTCAGAGCTGCACATTCCTGCCATGCACAGCGCCCACCCTGCTGGCTGCAGAGAGCTGGAGCCACAGAGCCCGAGCCCCAGGTTCTGGTGCCATCCGTGCAGGGTCCCGTCACCCGGCCCCTGTCCTGTGCTGGGAGGGAGAGGGCTGCAGCTGCATCCCCTCCTTCCCCTGCCTCACCCCTCAGGCCTGTGCAGGATTTGCCTCCTGTGTTCCAGGTTGAATCCACCCGGCTGGAGCAGCCCCAAAGCCGGGGTCAGCACAGAGCCAGACCCTGGGGAGGATGAGGATGGGGAATACCCTCATGAAGGCCATGCTGGCAGAGCCCAGGTGGTGCTGCAGCGTGGGGATGGCTCTGTCCACCCTGTGGGGCTGCAGTAACACAGGTGAGGCGGCCAGGGTTCCACAGAGCTGAGAGGAACCACCTGGTGAACCAGCTCCACTTGGAGCCCTGGCTGGGATGTGCTGGGCAGGGACACTGTGGGAGCTGGACACTGTGGGAGCTGGACACTGTGTGTGTGGGACACTGTGTGTGCTCACCGCCACCCTCGGGTGAGCATGGACACACATCCCAGGGCATGGACACACATCCCCAAGGCACGGACACACAGAGCATGGACACACATCCCGGGACATGGACACACATCCCCAAGGCACGGACACACAGAGCATGGACCCATCCCAGGGCATGGACACATCCCAGGGCATGGACACACATCCCCAGGGCATGGACACACATCCCCAGGGCATGGACACACATCCCAGAGCATGGACACATCCTCAGGGGCAGCATGCAGGCAGTGGCAGCTCCCTGGGGTTTCTCTCTGGCACAACAGGCAGGCTTGTGTTGGACACGGCACAGGTGGACTGTGGCCCTGGCCCAGCCCCAGCCCCAGCCCTACCCCAACCCTTCCTGAGCCCTCCCTGGATGCACAGCCCTGCATCAAGCAATCCCTGACCCTGGGGGGACTCTGCACCCAGCATCAGGACTTGGGCTCCGTCGACCTCATTTCAGTGCTCTGCAGCTGTGGAGGCACCATCACAGCCCATGGAACAGCTTCAGTAGGCCCTGATGACCCCCTAAACCACCTTCCCCCCTCTGCCAGAGTCCCCTCCCCTCTCCAGCCCGTGGGGCACACCACCCCAGCAGGCTGCAGTCCCCAGCCCACGCTCGGTGCCTTGAGATGAGGCAGAGGGGGGCGTGGGGCACACCACCCCAGCAGGCTGCAGTCCCCAGCCCCACGCTCGGTGCCTTGAGATGAAGCAGAGGGGACCTGTTGATGCAGAACAGAACAGCTGCCCTGGAACAGCCCCTTCAGGGCCTGGGGCATGCTGGGCCACGAGCCCCAGGGCCACGGGAACCAGAAGTGAAGAGCACTGTTTATTGAGGCTGTGCCTGTCCACAGCAGAGCACAGCAACCCCCGTTCTCAGCAGGAGCATCCCCTGCAGTGACCCCAGCTCAGTGCCCGGGGCACAGCCAGCCCAGAGCCAGCCCTGCTCCATTCCCACTCCTCTTTTCCCTCGGGATGTGCCGTGGGGGAGGTCAGGGCACACTCGGGGCAGGAGCACCCTGTGTGCAGGGCTCAGAAATGGCTGGGCACAGATGGAGATCATGCACAGCACGGACAGAGCAGATCCAGGCTGTCCTGGCACCATCCTGTCCCTGGAGCAGCAAGGGCTGTGGCCACAGGGGCTGGTGCTCCCCTGAGAGAAGAGCGGGGTGGCTGCTGCAGGCCCCTGCGTGTCCAGCCTGCCCATGCCACGCGTGCCCACTGCCAGCTCAGGGTCAGGCAGGGCACAGGCTGGGCACAGGCACGGGACACGGCTCCTGCCTCACATCCGATTCGCCTTCCAGGACAGGTAGCAGTTCCACACGATGGCAACACACTGGACAACAGCCAGCCTGGGGACAGAGGGGACAGGGTCTGCAGCTGCCAGCTCAGGGGGCAGGGACTGGGCGCCAGGGCCACAACACTACCTGTGCTGCAGAGGCACGAAGTAGAAGTTCGCAATCTGCACGGGCGGCCAGATCTGGGCAGAGAAGGGGAGGAGAGGTGAGCAGCCTGCCAGGGTCCCCTCCCCACACCCACCCCTGCCTGGCCCTCAGGGTGTCCCACAGAGCCACGGAGGAGGGCACAGGACACAGATGTGCCAGCACTCACACAGTAATTGGTCATCAGGGCATCCATGTAGTCCTGGAAGAAAAAGGAGGTGTGAGCACTCAGAGTCCCCATCCTTGCCACTGTCCTCAGCTCCACAGTGCTGGGCACGGAGCCCCTGCAGCCCTGGCCATGCCCTCCCACAGCCACGAGGGAGGCAGGGAGAGGGTGACCAGAACCATCCCCACTTTGTGCCACAGCCAGGGCACACGGGCACAGGGCTTGGCCCCCAGTGTGGGCAGTGAGCCCCTTGCCAGCTCAGTGCTCCCAGGCCCCTGCTGGGCACCACGTGGCAGAAATGGAGAAGGGCACTGAGCTGGGCCCACTGCTCGGGGATCCCAAGGTGCAGCCGTGTCCTCGTGCCCCAGCCAGGGCCGTGTCACATCCCTGTCCCGTGGCAGCAGGACAAGTCCCCGTGCAGCCCGGCCGTGACTCAGCCAGCAGGCCGGCTCCTGGTGGCGCTGGCCAGCAGCCCAGGACGGGGTGATGGATGCTCTGCTGACGCTTCCTCTGCGTGGGGAGAGGCGGATGTGCCCCAAGCCAGGGGAAGGTGCTGCCAGCGCTGCTGCCAGCCCAGCCCATCACCCCTCCAGGCCAGGGCCGTGGGAGCCACAGCCCGCACGGATCACCAACCACGGCAGGATCCCCTGGGGAAGGCAAGGCAGGGTCCATGGCACCAGCTGGTCAGGAGGCAGCAGAGGAAGATGGATGGAGTGCTCAGAGTGCTGCCCGTGCCCACGGTCTGCTCACGTGTGCCCTTAGGGTGCCTCAGAGCACCCCGTGCTCTGGCTGTGGCTTGCACAGAGCCTGAGGGAAGCAGAGGTGATGTGGTCCTGCCCTGGGATCTCCTTCCTGCACTCTGGGGCAGAGTGAGGGGCACGTGCTGGCAGTCCAGGTGTAGCAGGCTGGGTGCCCTCATGCAGAGGAATGAACCCTGGGTGGTGGCACTCAGGCAGAGCTCCAGCCAGGCCGGGGCTGTTCACAGGCACTGCAGGCAGCATCAGTGAGAGAGGCTGGTGTTGCCGCTGCTGGCAGCCACACGACCACCCCAGCGTGCCTCATCCTGTGGCAGGTGGGCACCCCCTCCCCAGTGACTCACGCTGGACACGCTGACTCAGTGTCCCCACGGGTTTCCAGCAATTACTGTTAATGGGAGTCATCTCAGTAATTGCTCCGGAGACCCAGCCAGCAGCAGGGCTGGACAGCACGCCCGTGGCACCCGTGTCTGGCCCAGGTGGGACCCCAGCACTCGCCCACAGCACACCTGTGCCAGAGGAACTGGCCCTGGCACCAGTACTTGGATGGCAGCACTGGGCACCCAACACGCCCTGGGTCCCAGGCCTGGGCACGGGCACAAACAGGAGCAGCCATCAGGGCTGGCACAGGGAGGAGCTGCCAGGGCCCACAGCTGCCCAGGGCAGCAGCAGCAGCACATACCTGCTGGATCTTGGAGCAGTTCTCCTGCAGTGACAGCCCGTTGGTGGCGCCTGTGACAGCCAGGAAGCAGCCAAGGAAGCACGGAGCGAATCCCCCCTGCGAGAGAGGAGCCCCGGCCGATGTGAGGAGCCTGTGCTGCTTGCAGCCAGGCTGGCCACAGGCAGCCTCTGCCAAAATGCCCACCAGCCCTCTGCTGCAGTGAGCCTGGGCCCAGCTCAGGCACCGGGCTCTGAGAGCAGCTGGAAACCTGCCACAGGGACTGTCCTGTCCCACTGCTGCCGTCCCACACAACACCCTCACCCACGTCACACCAACCTGGTCCAGGATCACCTTCTTCACAGCCACAACTTTTGTATTCCCTGGGATGAGCCAGTCCAGGATCCTGTACCAGCTGCCCACAACAGGGCCCTGCAGGAGCCAGGGGGTGAGGAGCAGCACTGCCCTCACTGGTCACAGGGGTCAGGGCTGGGGCCTCCAGGGCAGGTTACACGGCCCTGCTCCAGCTCTGGACCACAAAGACAAGCTCGTCCTATGCTCCTCCTGCTCCATGGAACTGGCCCTGCCCATGGCTGCTGGAGGTGGCACCAGGATAGCTCAAGTCACAGTCCCATCCTGCTGAAGGAGCCATCCCATCCCATCATCCCACCCCATCCCCATCCCATCCCCTCCCCTCCCATCCCATTATCCCATTATCCCATTATCCCATTATCCCATTATCCCATTACCCCCACTCACCACAAAGCAGAAGCCAATGGCCATCATTTTCAGGGTGCGGGGGCAGTGGTGCCCGTGCAGCCCCCGCTGCTCCACCAGCTGCTGTGCAATCACATCCCCAGCTCCCATGAGGGCCCCTGCAACCAGCACGGCCCCCTTAGGCAGGCCAGACCCCGTGTGACCTGCCCACAGCAGGGCCCCTGCCCCAGGACGCCTGAGCCTGCCCAGCCCTGGTGGCTCTGCCCCAGCTGCAGCTCCCCACGGCCTGCACCAAACCCTGTGGCACGGGTCCCACTCTGCCAAGTGCCTCAGGGCTCTCACTGCAGCGTCTCTGGTGTGAACGGTGCCCAGCTGCCCCTCCTCCCCGTGACCAGACACAGGGCTGGCCCATCCCCAGGCTCCACGGTGCTCTCAGAGCAGAGCCTGCCCAGCTGCTGCCCATGATCTCCACGCAGCCTTTCCCACAGCATCCCCAAATCTCTCCCTGGACACCGGGCAGGCTCTGCCGACTGATCCCCTCCCTGGAGACCAGCTCCCTGCCCGCATCCCCCACCAGCTGGGATGGGCAGGACGCGCTCCCCGCTGCCCCGGCCCCTTGCCACAGCTGGCTGCTGGCACAGCTCCTGGCCCTGTTTCTCGATCAGTGCCCCCGGTGGGGTGCTGCCCGGCTGGGTCTCTGGCAGCTCCTGCTCCATCCCACACCCCTGACCCCTTCGACGCAACTCAGCTGGCCCAGTGCTGCCCCTCCAGCTGCTCCCCCGGCCCCGGCGGCTCCTGCTCCCTCTCCCCTCTCCCCCTGGGACGTTCCCTGGGCAGGTCTCCAGCCCCGCTGCCGCTCTGCTCCGTCCTGGGAAGCCCTGAGCCCAGCAAACCCTCAGCCCGACGGGCGCAGCCCCTGTCCCGACAGCCCCAGGGTTGTGGTACCAGCCACGAGCAGCTCGGTACCAGCCCTGCCCCAGGGACTCGGCCAGGGTTCCTCATGGACAAGGGCCCAGCTCCCTGTCCCCACCATGCCATGAAGCTCCCCAGCAGGGCCAGCCCAGGCTCTGCAGCCCCGCAGAGCTGCTGCACCCCCAGCAGCACCCCCTCCTGCTTCACAGGCTCCATCTGGCACCCCCGACCAGCCCCAGGATCTGGGGGTCTGTTCCCCAGCCCCGAGAGACCCCACACCCCCCATGATGGCAGAGCAGCCCCACCAGCTCACGGGCCACACCGGCACCGGGCAGGGGTGGAGGCAGGCACTGACTCCAGGCCAGCACACCAGAGCACGGCTGCCTGCACAGCTGTACTGCCAGGAGCTGCACTGCCTGCAGCTGCACTGCCTGGAGCTGCACTGCCTGCAGCTGGGTGCAGGGGCACGGCGCTCATGGAGAACACGGCAGGCACTGCTGTTACTCACCCAGTGCCCAGAAGTGATGAGGCTGTGTGGAGGGACAGACCTGCCTGTGCATCCCTTCCTGGGCCAGGGGATGCAGCCACATCCAGCCCCCTGCAGTGACTTTGGCAGCAGTGCCTGCCCAGGGTGCCACCAGCACAGCCTGGCCACAGCTCCTGTGTAGGGCTGGAGCCCCAGCCAAACCTTGTGTCCAGGGCACCTAGCCGACCCCCAGGTTGATGCCCCAGGTTGTGTAGGGCTGGAGCCTTCATCCCAGCCAAACCTTGTGTCCAGGGCACCTAGCCGACCCCCAGGTTGATGCTCTTGTGACCAGAGGACTCTGAATGGGGCCCAAACCTAAGTAGGGCACCACCACCACCTTCATGGCCATGGCACTGCCTTGGCAGGAGCAGGGCACTGCTCTCCACAGGCAGAGGGACAGCAGGGTCACGGCTGCAGGCACGTGCTACTGCCCACTGTGCCCAGGCCCTGCTGGCAGCCTGGCCCGGGGCCCAGGATGCAGGAGGCAGAGCCCTGCCTGACCCCAGAGCCCTCGCACTGCAGCTGGGCCAGCAAGCGTGGCCGGGCACAGTGGGCACAGCCAGCTGCCAGCAGCTCCCTGGCCTGGCCCCAGCTGGCAGCACTGGGGTCCTGGGAGCAGCAAGAGAGGCAGGGCTGGAGGCTGGATGGACCTGGCACAGGGCACAGGCAGCAGGGGAGGGGCTGAGCCTGGCCACGATGGGGTCACTTGTGGAAGCTCTGGGGAGAGCAGGAGCGTTCGTGCCCCCTGGCTGGAGCTGGGCACCTGCCCAGCAGGGAGAGCCCAGCCCAGGGCAGAAACTTCTGGGCTGGTGGAGCCATACCAGCAGCAGCCCTGCACCCACAGAGGCTGTGCCCAGCCCCGCAGGCTGGCAGAGCCCTGGGGCAGGGCAGGGCAGTGCCACAGCAGCTCCCCCTGCAGCAGCAACAGGCAGAGCAGAGCCGAGGCTGGAGCCAGCCGGGGCCACGGCGGGCAGGGCCAGCCCTGGGCAGCCCCCCCAGCTCCACACTGGGCTGCTGCCAGGCACAGCGGGACGTGCTGCCAGCAATAGACTCCATGACATCCGATAAAAATAACAGCAGGAACAGCTAAGCGGCTGGCAGCGCCCCAGGCAGGGGGGCACCGTGCCACCCCCCCGCTGCCCCCGGGGCTGAGGGCCAGGGACTGCACCGCGAGGGGAGCCCCAGCTCAGCAGGGCACCCCGAGCCCGGGGCTGTGCTTTCCCAGCATCCTGGGGCAGTGGGAGCACGAGGGCAGGGCAGGGGCAGGGCAGGGCAGGAGCTGCAGCAGGGGGTGCAGCAAGGAGCACGCAGGGACCCCCAGCTCCCACCCACCCGTGCAGCTCGGGCACTGCACAGCCCTGAGAACACACGGAACAAGCAGGACACGCTCTCCCACCACCCAGACAGCCTCAGGTGTGCTGGGGGAGGGAGCACAGAGGGGCAGAGCTGCCTGCTGCCCCAGGGTTACAAATCCTTGGAGCAGCAGAGCCACGAGCCGACCCCGGGGCAGACTCATGGCACCTCACAGCTCTGCAAGCAGCAGCAGTGGTGGGAGATCCAATGCCCTGTGCAGAGCCCTCTCTCCGGCAGCACCTCTGTGCCTTCCCTGCTGAGTGCTGGCAAACACAGAACAGCTGAGCCCTTGTGGATTCCCAGCGCTGCAGCTCTGCATCCATCCCCTCCCGCTGAGGGGGCCTGGGACAGTGCCCCCCGGGGCTGGGTGTGAGGGGTGAGCTTCCTTACAGTCCCCACGAGCGCTCTGGCTCCAGCACAGAGCCCTGGCAGAGATCTGAGCTGGGAGCTCCAGCAGAGCCCTGACAGAGATCTCCTGAGCCAGAGCTCCAGCACAGAGCCCTGACAGAGATGTCCTGAGCCCAGAGCAGGCCAGGGCCCCTCCCTGGTGTGACACACGGTCCCTGCTGAGCCCGGGGCATGGCAGCCCCTCTTTCCCCTCAGGCAGACCCCTGAGGCACTGGGCAGCCCCTGCCGTGGCCCCTGCACGGTGGCAGTGCCTGCACAGCGTGGCGAGGGGCTGTGTGGGAGTGCAGGGGCTCATGCCCGTGGCTGTGGCAAGGACGGGCAGCCAGGAGGGGCTCGTGCCGGGGCAGTGTGAGTGCCGGGGAGCGGGGCTGTGTGCCGGCAGGGCAGAGCAGGGCAGAGCTGTGCTCGGGGCAGCTGTGTGCAGGGTGGGGCAGGGACTGTGTCCCAGGGGGCTGTGTGCAGGGCAGGGCAGGGCTGTGTTCGGAGAGCTGTGTACAGGGCAGGGGCTGTGTTCTGAAGAGAGCTGTGTTCCAGGCAGGGCAGGGCTGTGTTCCCAGGGCTGTGTGCCGGGCAGGGACTGCCGGGGAGCTGTGTGCAGGGCAGAGCCCGTGTTCTGGGAGGGCTGTGTGCAGGGCAGGGCAGGGCTGTGCTCCCGGGGGGCTGTATGCGGGGCAGGGCAGGGGAGAGCTGTGCTCCCGGGGGGCTGCGTGTGGGGCAGGGGCTGTGTTTGGAGGGCTGTGTGCAGGGCAGGGCAGGGCTGTGCTCCCGGGGGGCTGTATGCGGGGCAGGGCAGGGGCTGTATGCGGGGCAGGGCAGGGCAGAGCTGTGTTCCAGGGCGCTGTGTGCGGGGCAGGGCAGGGCAGAGGCTATGTGCCGGCGGGGCAGGGTAGCACAGGGGCTGTGTTCCGGGGGAGCAGTGTGAGGGGCAGAGCGGGGCAGAGCTGTGTTCCGGAAGCCGTGTGCGGGGCTGTGTGCAGGGCCGCGGCCCGTCCCTTACCGGCCGTGAGCGCCTGCTTTGCCCCGGGCCGCCGCGCCAGCAGCCGCCCGCAGCCCCTCCAGAGCGCCGCCATGGCCCGCGCGTCGCGGCGCGGTGACGTGGCGCGGTGACGCGTGTCGCGGCGCAATGCCGTGTGGCGACCGGCAGCGTTTATTGGTCAGTAGCGGCCCAGCACCGTGGCCAGCAGCGCCATGCGCATGTACATGCCGTTCTCCGCCTGCCGGAAGTACGCGGCGCGCGGGTCCGAGTCCACCTCCACGCTGCGGGGTGACGTCATCAGCGGCGCCGCCCCGGGCCCCAACGAACACCGGGGGCAGGAACGGGCACCGGGACCCCGAGCCCACCCCGGGACCCCGAGCCCACCCTCCTCCCGGGACCCTCGGCACCCCCCGGGACCCCCGGCACCCCCCGGGACCCCCAGGATCTCCCGGGACCCCCGGAACCCCCCGGACCCCGGCCCACGTGGCAGCTCCGACACCCCCGGGCCCGGCAGCCCCGCTCAGCGGAGCCCGTGCCCCGGCCCAGCAGCAGCTGCAGCCCCGCGGCTCCGAGCCCTGCCCAGCCCTGCCCAGCGCACCGCAGTGCTCCTGCCCCTGACCCCCCGCGCCTCCCCAGACAGCCCCGGCACGCCGCGGCTCCCGTGCATGACAGTGCCCCAGCAGCAACAGCGACACCAGTGACCCGGGGACACCACTGCCCCAGGGACACCAGTGTCCCAACACCATGCCCCAGGGACCCCACTGCCACAGGGACCCCACTGCCCCAGTGCCCCAGCAGCGCTGCCCCAAGGACCCCACTGCCCCAGTGACCCCACTGCCCCAGAGACACCGCTGCCCCGGTGACACCAGTGTCCCAGCGAGGGGACACCACTGCCCCAGGGACACCAGTGTCCCAACACCATGCCCCAGGGACCCCACTGCCCCAGTGCCACCACTGCCCCAGTGCCACCACTGCCCCGGTGACACCAGTGTCCCAGCGTCCCCAGAGCCCTCCCACAGCCCCATGCCCCGAGGACCCCCCTTCTGCCCTGTATATTTCACACCCATTCTCCCAGACACCTCCCCAGACACTCCCAGCACCCTGCAGCCCCCAGCACCCTGCAGCCCCCCCAGCACCCTACAGCTCTCCCCTGCCCACAGCCCCATGCCCCGAGGACCCCCCTTCTGCCCTGTATATTTCACACCCGTTCTCCCAGACACCTCCCCAGACACTCCCTCCACACCTCCCCTGACCCCCAGCACCCTGCAGCCCCCCGCACCCTGCAGCCCCCAGCACCCTGCAGCTCCCCTGCAGCCCCCCAGCAGCCCCCAGCACCCTGCAGCCTCCGCACCCTGCAGCTGCCCTAGCCCTGCTCCCTCTCCCCACCTGATCTCGTTGACACGGGGCAGGGGGTGCATCACCACCATCCTCTCCTTGGCGCGGGTCATGATGTGGGGTGTGAGGATGAACTGCCCGAAGCACTGAGGGGACACACAGAGCCCTGAGCGGGGCAGGGAGCGCCCAGCCGCGGGGCAGCAGGAGCCGGGCTCCCTCACTCACAGCCTCGTACTCCTCGGCCCGCTGGAAGCGCTCCTTCTGGATGCGGGTCATGTACAGCACGTCCGTGTCCGGCAGCGCCTCCTCGATGCTCCCAAACTCCTCCTGCGGCGGCACCGTGAGGTTGGGGGGCACGGCTGGGCCAAGGAGAGTGGGGCCAGCCCCCCACGCTGCTCCTCACCTGCTGGATGCCCCTGGAGGCCACGAAGCTGGTGATGTCGGGGGGCATGCGCAGCCCGGGCGGGGTGACGTAGCGCAGGTTGACGCGGTACTGGGTGAGCAGCCGGGCCAGGGAGTGCACCGTGCGCCCGTGCTTCAGGTCACCCACCATGGTGATCTGGGGACAGCGGTCAGCCGGCCTGCCCAGGCCCCTCAGGGCTCACTCAGAGCCCCCTGAGCGCCCGGCCGTGCTGCCCGGCCCCCGCAGCTCACCGTCATGCCGTTGACTGTTCCCAGCTCCTCGCGGATGGTGAAGATGTCCAGCAGCGCCTGCGTGGGGTGCTCGCCCACCCCGTCCCCGGCGTTGATCACCGGCTTGCGGCAGTGCCTGGCGGCCAGCTGGGAGCACCGGCAAGGCAGGCAGGTGAGCGCAGGCAGGACACAACTCCCACAACTCCCACAATTCCCACCCGGCCCAGCTGGGGACCACGTCCCTGCCCACAGAGCAGGTCACCCTCCCTGCCCTTGGGGCAGTCCCTGGTGCCTCCAGAAGAGCAGGCAGCTCCCCTCAGCCCTCTCACCTCGACAGCGCCGGGCTGGGGGTGCCGCAGCACCAGCACGTCGGCGTAGCAGCACATGGTCTGCACGGAGTCAGCCAGCGACTCGCCCTTCTGCACCGAGGAGGTGGCCTCCGAGAAGGAGAGCACGGAGCCGCCCAGCCGGCTCATGGCTGCCGCGAAGGAGCTGCTGGTCCGCGTGCTCACCTCGTAGAACATGCTGGCCATCACCTTCCCCTGCAGGGCCGGGCCGTCAGCTCGGGGAGCCCTGGCACCTCCCCTGGTGCAGGGCTCCCTCGGGGTGCCGGGGCAGGCGCGTGCTCTGGGCACGGCTCACCTTGAGGATGTCCAGGCTCCGCTCCTTCTGCACCAGCATGCGCAGGGTGTGCGCCACGTTGAACAGGTGGGACAGCTGCGGGGACAGGCGGCACCAGGGCTCAGCTCGGGGGCACAGGAAGCACCACAGCACCCACAGCCCCCTGCCCGGCAGGGCACCTGCTCCTTGGAGAACTGCCGCACAGAGAGGACGTGCTGCCCGACCAGGGGGTGCAGCAGCGGGGAGGTCTGGAAGTGGGGGGCACGCTGAGGGGACGTCTGGCGCGGGACGGGGCCCAGCGGGTGGAAGTGGCTGTCCTGGACCACCGCCGAATCTGTGGCACCGAGAGCAGCTGGTCAGCCCACGGGGTGCCCTGAGGAGCCCAGCCACCAGCCACAAACCCCGGATCCCCACTGTGGGCCCCTGCTGCACTCACCTGGTTCCGCTGCCTTCCTGCTGCCCTTCTCACGAGTGTCCTCAGCTGGGTGGGAGAGGGGAGCAGTGGTGTTAGGGGTGTGGGAGAGACAGCACCCCAGGCCCTGCTCTCGTCCCAGCGTGCTGCCAGTGTGGCACAGCCCTCCTGGCACTTGGCCACACCAGGTGAAACCAAGATGGGTGTGACACCAGGGTGATGGTGAACCAGACAGGCAGTCCAAGCCCCACACTGTGCTGTGACCCTCTCCCTGCGCACCCCACAATTCCCACTGGCCACCCCCAGTTCACACTGGGGTGAGGGGTCCCCGAGGTGCCATGCAGGCTGGGGCAGGAGGGGAGCGGGCGGCACAGCCGTGCCCTCTCCTACAGCACCCAGTCCTGGTGCTGGGTGCCAGAAGGGGCCCACGGGGGGCACGCAGGCAGCCCGGGGCCTGCAGGGCACCTGGGGGAGGGGATGCACTCATGGGCTGCAGTCAGTGCCAGCAGTGAGCCCCCCGACATTACCGGTGCCTCGGGCGCCCGGGCGGTGCGCGGCTCCCAGCCTCCGGAATGCTGAACGGGACACAAGGGCTGGCGTCAGCGGGGCCACCCCGCCACGTCCCAGACCAGCCCCCAGGCAGCGCGCCCGCTGCCCGCCCACCCCCCTACCTGGCAGCTCGGGGTCCGAGGCGCGGTGGATGCGGGGCGGGAGGTGGAAGCGTGCGTCACCCGCGGGGCCGGGCCGGCGCGGGCTGGGGGCTCGCCCACGCAGCACGTCACCGGCCACGCGCCGGGGCTGCTCAGGGCTCTGAAACGAGAGACCACGCTGGAGCTGGGGCAGGGAGGGACCCCCTGCCAGCTCTGTACACCCCAGTACCTTCACGCTCTCCTTGGTGGGGGCAGCGTGTGGCAGCAGTGCAGCTCCTGAGGTCCACTTCCTCACGTCCTGCCCATAGCCAGGGGGCACCAGCACCTGCAGCCGTGGCAGGGATGGGATTAGGGGAATGGGGTCAGCACTGGGAGACCCCCTCTGTGATGGGGGCACCCTCAACACAGGAAGAAAAGGAGCCAGGACCTTACCTGCCCATCGATGTAGGCAACCTCCCCACGCAGGACTACCCTCCGCACTGTGCCCTTGACCTGCATGCCCTCAAAGGGGGTCCAACGGGCCTTGGAGAAGACTGTGCTGCTGGGGATGATCCATTCCTGCTCCAGGTCCACCTGCCAGGACAGCGGGTCAGAGGCAGAAGGGTGGGGGCTGGACTGGGGCGGGTGGGCAGGGACACACCTCCACATAGGTGTCCTCCTGCGCTGGGAGCCCAAAGATCTTGCGAGGGTTCTCATAGAGGCGCTGGACGATGTCCTCCACGCTGAGCCTCCCCTCGGAGACGGCCGTCAGCAGCAGTGGCAGCATGGTCTCCAGGCCAGGGTACCCAGGGGGAGGCTCCTGCCCCTGCTTCTCCTCCAGCGTGTGGGGAGCTGCAGGATGGGGCTGGTCACCGCGGCTGTCCCCATGGCTTTCCCTGCCCCACGGGCACCATCCCCAGGGACTGACCGTGGTCAGTGGCAAAGCAGTCGATGATGTCCATGTTCTCCCAGAGCACCTCCACGTCCTGGCGGGTGCCCAGCTCCGGCCGCACGGCCGCACGGCCCTTGCCCAGGCGCCCCAGGTCGTCCTGGCTCAGGAAGAGGTGGTGCGGGGCCACCTCGCACGTCACCGGGATGCCCCTCTGCTTGGCCACCTTGATGAGCAGGATCTGGAGCAGCCGTGGTTAGTGGGGAACCCACAGGGCCCCGTGCTGCGCCCCCGGAACCCAGAGCTCGCCCTGCTCACCTCCTCCCGGCGGGCCACGTGGCAGATGTGGACAGGGCGCTGGTACAGCTGGGCCACCATCAGCACGGCGGCCACCGTCTGCCGCTCCGCGTGTGCCACGATGGGCAGGTGCCGCGGCCACTGCTCCAGGTGCTGCGGGAATGGGGCTGGTGGGCACCGGAGCCAGGAGCAACCTGCCCCGTGCCAGCCCTGCCCTCCTGCTCACCTCCATCCACAGCAACACGTTGTCCATCCGCAGGCTGGAGAAGGTGTCGTTCAGGTACATCTTGAGCCCGGCGGCTGCCCCAGCCAGGGGGCCCAGCGTGCCAGCATTGTCCAAGGAAGCTCCCAGGAAGAGAGCAAAATCGCAGCGGGCCCCAGCCTCAGCCAGCTGCAGGACAAGAGGCAGTGGGTGCTGTGGTGGGACCAGTCCTGCCACCAGCACCAAGCCCACCATGGCTGGCACAGGAGGGGATGTGAGCACCAGGCTGGCAGCAGCTCCTCACCTTCTGTGCCAAGGCGAACGAGGTGGCATCGGTGACAGCAGGGCTGGTGTTGGGCATGGCACACACCATAGTGACACCCCCGGCCAGGGCGGCTGCTGTGCCTGATGCAAAGTCCTCCTTGTGGGTGCCACCCGGCTCACGGAGGTGGACATGGACATCGATCAGGCCTGGGGAGTGTCAGCGTCAGCACTGGCAGCTGCTGGCCACAGGGGACACGAAGGACAAGGGCCATCCCGCCAGCGCAGCATGGAAACATCTCTGCAGCACCTGCAGATGTGCCCAGCCCAGCTCTCAGCCCTGTCCCCGTTCTGTGCTGTGCCCTGGGGCCACTGAACACCCACCTGGCAGACGGATGAGCTTCTGGGACGTCATGCAGTCCACGTGCATCTTCAGTGGGGGGGCTGCCCCAATCTGGCCCAGTGCCTGCAGAAAGAGCAGCTGTGAGGCAGGACCCAGGGTCAGGAGCAGGGGCAGGGTGATGATGGGTCCCCAGAAACAACCCCTGCACAGTGACACCCACACACAGAGCCTGCCCCGCAGCACCCACAGCAGGACTTTGCAACCCTGCTTTGCTCCCTTTCCCTGCACCCATGGTGCCCAAGCCCACCTCTACGAAGAGCTTTGTGCACTTGATGTCGATGATGAGGGGCACGGAGTAGTCGACAGCCAGGCGCCGGGTGCGGTAGCCCTTGGTGACAAAGGAGGACAGCCGGCGGCCCCCCGAGTTGCGCATGGAGAGGTTGATGACCATCTCAAAGTGGTTCTCGGCCAGGTAGTCCAGGATGCTGCGCTGGGTCTCCCGGGCACCAGCCTCGCTGCTGTCTGCCTCCTCGAAGTGCCAGTCCACAGCCTTCACCTGCAGGCAGTGACCCCGTCAGGGCCCTGCAACACCCCGCGAGTGACCCTGGCCCTGCAGAACCCCAGCCCTGGCCCTGCAGAACCCCAGCCCCGGCCCCGCAGAACCCCAGCCCTGACCTTGATGCCGTGCTCGGTGTAGAAGTCGGCGGTGCCAAGGCTGGCATACAGGTTGTAGCCGAGGCTCTCCAGCGTGCGCACCGTGGGCAGCAGCTCACTCTTGTTCTGAAACGAGCCAGGGGCCGGTCAGAGGGCAGAGAGGGAGCCCCGGCCTCGCAGCAGTTTGACCCCACGTACCTTGTAGCTGCCGATGGTCAGCAGAATGTTCTTCTTGGGGATCTTGAAGCCGGTGCTGAGCATGGCCTTCAGGTACGCCTCGCAGCGGTTCTCCCCAAAGCAGGCGACCTCGCCCGTGCTGGTCATCTCCACGCCCAGCACCACGTCAGCGCCCGCCAGGCGTGAGAAGGAGAACTGGGGCACCTGGGGGCGAGGGGAGGCTCAGGGGCTGCCTGGCCCTGCACCCCAGCCTGGCCCCATGGCCCCCACTCACCTTGACACCAACGATGCCTGTGCCTGTCATCAGCCCCACGGGCTCCACATCCTCACCCATGATCACCTGGCTGGCCAGAGCCACCAAGTCCACGCCCAGGGTCTTGGAGACGAAGGGGAAGGAGCGGGAGACACGAACATTGCACTCTATGACCTTCAGCTGGTCATCCTAGGAGAGAGGGGACAGGATGAGGCAGGGCTGGGGACGTGGGCTGTTCTCCCCTGGCCGTGCAGTCCCCTGTGCCCGGTACCTTGGCGATGAGCTGCAGGTTGAAGGGCCCTGTGACCTGCAGCTCCTGCCCAATGGCGTGGACGATGGCCTTGATGCGCTCCAGTGTCTTGGGGGTGATGTCCTGCGGGGGGGTCACCAGCGTGGCGTCACCCGAGTGCACCCCAGCGTTCTCCACGTGCTCCGAGATGGCGATGGCCACCACCACCCCGTCACAGGCCACCGCGTCCACGTCGATCTCCTGTGAGCAGGAACAAGGTCACAGCCTGCCACTGGGCTGGGGGCCGGGGCTTTCATGGGGCATCCCAGGGGTGGAGCAGCCTCCTGGATGGACCTTGGCCTCCTGGATGAACTTGGAGATGACAACAGGCTGCTCCTTGGACACGGCCACAGCGTTGCTCAGGAACTTCTCCAGGTCGCTGTCCGAGTAGGCCACGTTCATGGCAGCCCCGCTGAGCACGTAGGACGGGCGCACGACACAGGGGTAGCCCACCTTGCAGCAGAAGTGCTTGGCTGACTGCGGGAGAGACGGAGCTCAGCACGCACAGACAGCCACCCTGGGGCAGCCCTCTCCTCTTCGCCGGGCCCCACCTCCATGTTGGAGAGCTCCTTCCAGAGGGGCTGGCTGATGCCGATGGAGTCGAGCAGGCGGGAGAACTTGAAGCGGTTCTCGGCGGAGTCGATGGCCTCCGGGGAGGTGCCCAGGATGCGGCACTGCTGCCGGTGCAGGGCCATGGCGATGTTGTTGGGCAGCTGCCCGCCCATGGACAGGATCACACCCTCAGGGTTCTCCAGCTCGTAGATGTCCATCACCACCTGCAGCACCATGCAGGCCAGGGGAAGGGCTGGGACGGAGCCATGGCAGCCCTCACCCAGCCCCGCAGCTGTCAGGGCCCCAGCCCCCTCACCTCAAAGGAAATCTCGTCGAAGTAGAGGCGATCACACATGTCATAATCAGTGCTCACTGTCTCGGGGTTGTAGTTCACCATGATTGTCTTGAAGCCCATCTATTGGGGGTGGGACAAGGTGAGCCCAGAGCCCCCAACCCCTACCCAGCCTCCTCCTCTGACCAGGAACACCCACCCCTCACTCCACAGGGTGCTGGGGCCCTGTTGTGGTGCACTAGTTTTAGTTGTTCTCTTGCACTGGCTGATTGGGAATTTGCACAGAATAGTTTTATATTGCACTGTATAGCTTATGTTATATCACGTGCTTTGTTATCTCTTTCCCCCATCACATGGGGGAAAGAGATAACAAAGGGTCTTTCCCTCACCTACCCCAGTACCCCCTGGTGGTCCCTCCCCTCCCCTCACCACTCCTCACTGGTATCCCATTGGCTGTGGACCTCTCCCTCTGTCCCCATCCCACAGGGAATGCTCTCTTTCTCCCATGGGTTTGTCCACATGATGTGTGTCTTGGAATAAAGGACATTTCCCACGTGGAGGAGAGCGCTTCTCAATCTTTTACCTATATCTATGCAATATCGTGTGGGCAAGGGTCCATAGCTAGCCGGAGTGGACCCCAACAGCCTGGCAGAGGATTGGGTATTTCAGGGCCCGGCTGACCTTGCGGAGCTCCTGGATGCAGCCCACAGCACACCAGTCAAACTCGACGCTGCTGCCGATGCGGTAGACGCCGGAGCCGATGACCATGACGTGGGGCTCGCGGAAGGCCAGGTCGTGCTCGGAGCCGTTGTAGGTCAGGTACAGGTAGTTGGTTTGGGCTGGCCACTCTGCTGCCACCGTGTCGATCTGCTTCACCACTGGCAGGATCTTCAGGTCGCGCCGCATCTTCCGCACGGCCAGCTCGGTGCTGCACAGAGCAGGGTGAGCGCCAGGACCCAGGCAGGGAGCACAGCAGGGCTGTCCTGTTCCCTCCCCGTCTCACCTGAGCACGGCCTGGGCCACCTGCTTGTCGGAGAAGCCAAGCTGCTTGGCACGCTTGAGCACGGCAGGTGGCATGGTGCCCTGCTGGCCGCGGTACGACTCCAGCAGCACCGCGTGGTCCGTGATGTTCTTCATCTTGTGCAGGAACCAGCGGTCAATCTTGGTCAGCTCGTAGAGCCGCTCGATGGAGTAGCCGGCCCGCAGCGCCGCCGCCAGCACGAAGATCCGCTTGTCCGTGGGCGTCTCCAGCTCCTGCCAGGCCAAGGGCTGAGTGTGGCCGAGGGAGGCAGGTGGCCACCTCTCCCCCAGGATGGCACAGCCAGCACAGACACCCAGTGCTCACCATGTCTGAGACCGGCTTCACCGTGTGATCAAAGCCCACACAGTTCTCGTCCACCATCCTCAGAGCCTTCTGGAACGCCTCCTCAAAGTTCCTCCCAATGGCCATCACCTCCCCTGCAGAAGGTGGGGTGAGCAGGTGGTCCCGTGCCCGCCATGTGCCCCACCAGTGCCGTCCCTCTGCGCTCACCCACGCTCTTCATGGAGCTGCCAATCTTGGTGCTGACGCGCAGGAACTTGCTGAGGTCCCAGCGCGGGATCTTCACCACGCAGTAGTCCAGGCTGGGCTCAAAGCTGGCTGTGGTGGAGTTGGTGACGGAGTTCCTGAGGAGGGGACAGGGTCAGCAGCTGGGGCTGGCCCACCAGGCAGCACCCTGTCCCACACTGTGGAGGTTCCTCACCTGAGGAGGGGCAGGGGGATGCCCAAGGCAAGTTTGGCAGCCACATAGGCCAGCGGGTAGCCAGTGGCCTTGCTGGCCAGGGCCGAGCTGCGGGAGAGCCGGGCGTTCATCTCGATGATGTAGTACTGTGGGCAGCAGGTGGGCAGGGTCAGTGGGTGCCATGGAACAGGCCAAGCCAGTGACATGGTGACACGGCCAGACCCACAGTGTCCCGGAGATGCTGCAGCACGGGGGCCTGCTGCAGCACAGCCTCGTGTGACAGCTGGGGCAGGACCCAGATCCCCCAGGGCGAGGGTGGCTGGGGATCAGGAGAGGGAGCCAGAACCCACAGGGGCTGCAAGTACCTGCTCTGACTCGGGGTTGAGGGCAAACTGGATGTTGCACTCGCCCACGATGCCCAGGTGCTGCACCACCTTGATGGCTGTGCGCCTCAGCATGAAGTACTCGGTGTCATTGAGGGTCTGGCTGGGTGCCACCACAATGGACTCGCCCGTGTGGATCCCCAGCGGGTCCAGGTTCTCCATGTTGCACACCTGGCAGCAGGGGGGTCACTGCTCCACGTGCTGTCCATGGGCATTCCTCCCAGTTCCCACCCCATCCTCCCCTGCCCAGTCAGGACTGGAATCCACGGGGTGTTCCACGGAGTGGACAGCTGGGGTGGACACCCCAGCATAGGGGAGCAGGGCTCGGTTCACAGGGTGCAGCCCCCAATGGCACACAGCAGCTGTGCCAGCACCACCAGAGGCACTGGGGAGCCCTCCCTGGGGACAAGGTGCAGCAGAGCCCCCAGCCCCTGCCCCATGTCCATCCCTCTGCAGCAGCCCAGGGGCCTCCCTCCATCCCGTACCGTGATGCAGTTGTTGTAGGCATCCCGCACCACCTCGTACTCAATCTCCTTCCAGCCTTTCAGGGACTTGTCCACCAGCACCTGGGAGGTGTGGGTGAAGGCCTGGCTCACCAGAGCCACCAGCTCCTCGCGGCTGTTGGCGAAGCCGGAGCCCAGCCCGCCCAGGGCATAGGCAGAGCGCACCAGCACCGGGTACCCCAAGCGCTCAGCTGCAGCCTGCGCCTGCAGGGAGCAACGGGGTCACGGTGGGAACAGGAAGGACAGGACCCTGCCCTGCCCCACAGCCCCCAGCCCGCCCCAGACCTGCTCCAGGGAGGCAGCAGCCTCGCTGGGCGCCACGTGCTCCCCGATCTCCTCCATCTTCTCGGCGAAGACCTTGCGATCCTCCGTCATCTCGATGGAGGCAACGGGGGTGCCCAGCACGCGCACGCGGTAGCGCTCCAGAACCCCCGCCTTGGTCAGCTCCACGCCGCAGTTGAGGGCTGTCTGTCCCCCGAAGGTCAGCAGCACCCCATCAGGCCGCTCGTTCCGGATCACCTGGGGCACGGGGCGGCGGGACAGAAACCACGGTGGGTCCTGTGCTCTCCAGCTCCTCCTCCCCTGTGCTGCCCCTCAAGTCCCTTCCAACCACCAGCCCAACGTCCAGCCCTACACGCACCAGGCTCCAGGACACCCTCCAGCCCAGCCCCACACTCATCCTCCAGCTCTGCCCTCCCTGTGTTCCCACCCTCTCCCAGCCAGCATCCCGCGGCGCTCACCTGGGTGACGTACTCAGGGGTGATGGGCAGGAAGTACACCTTGTCTGCCAGTCCCTTGGAGGTCTGCACTGTAGCGATGTTGGGGTTGATCAGCACCGTCTGGATGTTCTCCTCCTTCAGCGCTTTGATGGCCTCGTGGGGAGCAGAGGGGTCACTGCTGGTGGCCCTGGGCCCCTGTGGCCACCACCTCCCACCCTGCCCTGGGGTTGGCACTCACCTGTGACCCCGAGTAATCGAACTCGCCTGCCTGCCCAATGGAAAGGCCACCGGAGCCCAGGATCAGCACCTTGCGGGGCCGGGCTGCATCCACGTCCCCCGCTGGCGCCTTGCTGTAGGTCAGCCACTGCTGCAGGCGCTCCCGCACTGGGGGGATGCGGCACGCTGGGGACAGGGCACGCCACGCACAGCCCCGTCCTGCAGCCCTTGGCCCGTGTCCCGGCTGTCCCTCACACTCACACCCACCTGTCTGGGCGCTGCCGTGCCCATCCCGCAGGTCCCGTGCCACCTCCACGAAAACATCAAAGAGACCCTCCAGGTCCGTGGGGCCGGCGCAGTGCTCGGGGTGGAACTGCACACTGTGGAGGGGGTCAGGCAGGGCACACCCCACAGCCCCCAGCCCCCGCCGCGGCCCCGGGCCCACCTGAAGAAGGGCTTGTGCTGGTGGACGAGGCCCTCGTTGGAGCCGTCGTTGGCGTTGGTGAAGAGCGGCAGCCAGCCGGGCGCGAGGCTGCCCGCCTGCACCGCGAAGCCGTGGTTCTGCGCCGTGATGAAGCAGCGCCGCGTGTCCTCGTGCAGGCACGGCTGGTTGTGCCCCCGGTTCCCGTACCTGGGGGCGGCACAGCCGTCAGGCAGCCCCAGCAGCCGGGACCCCCGCGGTGCCCCTGGACCCCCACTCACTTCATCTTGTAGGTACGGGCGCCGAGGGCCAGGGCGAGCAGCTGGTGGCCCAGGCAGATGCCAAAAATGGGCTTGGGCTGGGGTGCGTCCAGCAGCTGGCACAGGTTGGACACCGTCTCCTGGCAGAGCAGTGGGTCCCCAGGGCCATTGCTGATGAACAGCCCGTCAAAATCTGTGTCAAGAGAACAGCAGGGTCAGAGTGGGGCCCCCCAGCCCCTCAACATTACAGAGGGGTCCCCAAGGTCCCCACAGGCTCATAGCCACCAGTCCTGGCTACCAGCAGAGAAGCACCCTGAGCCTGCAGCTCCCCCAACACCCCAGCAGGGTTACAACCAAGGTGTTCTGACCCCACAACACCCGTTCAGGTGGCAGCAAGGCCCTGCCAGTCCCCCATGGTGCCCCCCACCCTGAGCCACACCAATACCACAGTCCTGGGACCCCCAGGGTACCCCCCACCCCAAGCCACACCAATACCACAGTCCAGGGTCCCCCATGCCAACCACAGCAACCCGAGCCCTGCTCCTGTGGTGCCACACTGAGGGCTGAGCCCCAGAGCCCCCAGGAATGATGGCACCAAGGCTCCCCACCCCACAGCACTGAGCAGAACACAGGTGCCTGCTGTCCCCAGCACCGAACACGCAGGCAGTGCCATACCCAGCCGCCTGGTGGGACCCCAGACTGTCCCCGACCACTGCCACCTCACCTGCAGGGTCCAGCGGGTGGTCCCAGGGCACCACAGTGACAGCAGCCCCCCGCCTGCACAGACACCGTATCTGGTTGTTCTTCAGGCCGCAGTCGAGGGCCGTGACACGCAGGGACCCGCCCGGGTTGAACACCCGCGGTGCCTGTGGGGAGGGGAGCGCATCACCCGGCTCTGCTGGGGCCAGCCCCCACAGCGAGGGGCTGCACAGCCCCTCTGCCGCCCCAGCCCCGCTCAGACTCCCAGCACACCTTCAGCGACACCTCCTGCACCAGGTGCTTGGTGTTGGGGTCCTCAAAGGAGAGGCTGTCCTCGGGGGTCCCATCCGGCACCAGCTTCCCCAGCAGCGTCCCCTTCTCGCGGATCTTCTTGGTCAGCGCCCGGGTGTCCACCCCTGCAAGCGGGCAGTGAGACACAGCCCACGGCCCCGGCCCACCCCAGCAGCACCCTGCGCCCCAGCAGCATCATCGCCCCAAAATCCAGCAGAGGGTCAAGCCCCAGGTGGGCAAAATTCAGCAGAGAGGGGTCTGGTTTCAGAGCTCGCTGACCCACAGCCCCCACCCCACTCTGCTGTCCCCCCAGTCCCACCTTCCAGCCCGGGGATGTTCTGCTCCTTCAGCCACTGGTCCAGGGACTGGGATGCGCTCCAGTGGCTGGGGGTCTCTGAGCACTCGCCCACCACCAGCGCGGCCACGTGGATCTTGCTGGACTCAAACCACTGCGGGGACAGAGGGTGAGCAGGGCAAGGCAGAGGGTCTCCAGCCCAGGAGAAACCCCATGGAACACAGGCCCCATTCCCACAGCACAGGACGAGACCTCCCGGTGCTGGGCTGCCACTTTTCCCCACCCCCATCACAGCGAGGCTGAGCCTTAGATCAGGGAGCCCCAGAACGGGGTGTCCAAGCCCCCACAGCTCTGCTGGACTGCAGCCCACTGCCCACACAGCCCATGCCACGGGAGCCCTCAGCGTGGCACAGCTGCAGCACAGACCAAGCCGACGGGAAAGCACCCCTGCCACCAGCCACGCCGGTGTGTCCCGTGCCATGGGATCAGGGCACGGCTCCCAGGGGCACAGGGCACAGCAGAGACCCACAGCACCGGCCCGGAGAGGGCTGCTATCAGCGAGACCCCAGGGGGGGCGTGGGGAGCCGGCAGGGCACGGCCGCAGCAGGGCTGGACTCTGCCCCGGGACAGACGGCGTGGAGGCCAAGGGGCTGGGAGGGGGCTGGGACACGAGCAGCCCCTCTGCCCAGCCCCAGCCCGGCCTTGTCACGGGGGTCCAGATTCCCACCTTGCCACAGAGCCGTGCCGAGGAAACGCACAGCCCACACCCAGGGACTGCCAGGGCACCCCGATCCCAGCGCTCCGGGGTCTGCCCCTGCCCAGCCGCGCTCCTCGCCATGCCAGACCCCACTGTGGCCCTGCGGCGTCGCAGCCAAAGCTCTCCGTGCCACCATGTGCCACTCGCTGTGCCCTGGCACCTCGTGCCGCCCTGGCACCTCGTGCCGCCCTGCCCGTCCCGCGGTGCCCCCGCTCACCCTGCTGAGGCCGAAGGCGTCGGGCTCGTCGCGGGGCACGCCGTAGTTACCGACCAGCGGGTAGGTAAGCACCAGGATCTGCGCCTTGTAGGAGGGGTCGGTGAGGGCCTCGGGGTACCCCACCATGCCCGTCTGGAACACTGCGGGGAGGGCACGGGGTGATGGGGGGCACGGCCGGGCCGACCCCGGCCCCGCGCCCCGGGCAGCCCCTCGGAGCGCCCCGAACGGCGGGAGCCCCCGGCCCGGATCCTGCCCCTGCCGTTCCCGCTCCTTCCCGCGCCGCCCCACGGCATCCCGGCCCGGCCCGGCCCCCGGACACACTCACCGACTTCCCCCGCCGCGGCCCCGACGGCCCCGAAGAGGCGGCCGGGCAGCACCGAGCCGTCCTGCAGCAGCAGCCGGGCCATGGCGCCGCCACGTGCGCTCCGGGCCCGCCGCGGTCACCGAGCGGGAGCGCGCGC